ATCGGTGTATTTATTACTAAGTATATGATATATAGTTATGTTAGTTTAAGAGTTGTGGTAAAATGTGTTTTATAAATAAAAATTAATTTCATTACAACGTGTATTGGTAACGATCCTCTAATAAAACTAATGCCCAAATAACTGTATCTCACTTCCATTCTCAATGACCGTGTAGTGTACTAATATGAATTTTAATTCATAGTTTATATATCCCCAGATAATTTCATTAAAGTAAATGAAAATCGTACTTAATGCAGAATTTTCAGGATCGGATTCTCCTGTTACAATTGATAGGAACGGCATATCATGATCAGTCTAGTTATGTTAAAATTAAAAAAAAATAATTTTATCATTAATTATTGATTATGGCCACTGTGCATTATACTAAGTTTGTTTGTTTGATTGTTGTTTAATGTCCCTCTCGAGAATTTTTCACTCATATGGAGACGCCACCACATGCCGGTGGAGACCTATGCTCGGCACTAAGAGCCATTGAGCAGTGAGGGATCTTTTTCGTGCCAGCGCCTACTGCGACCTCGGTTTATAAACTCTCATCCGAAGGACCGGTCTCCACGTCCCATAGTGGGATTCGAACCAGCGACGTAAGGGTCAACTCCTTACTCCGAGACTCTAGAGCAGACGCTCTTACCACTGCGCCATTATACTAAGTATGTATAAGAAGAGTGAAAATATAATCTCTGTTTTATTTTCAATGAGATGTTTTGAATTTGGATAAAAGGCTAAAAGTAAATAACATTATGTTATTTTTTAAACTTATTTACTCCTCTGTGGAAACCTATCAGGAGTAAGTTACGAAGTGCTGAAATTAAATATAGACATAAACTCGGAGTAGTGCATTAAAGGAGAACGTTTCAGATTTGAAGCATTAAGTGCTTGTTTGTTGCAAGTAAAATTTCTGAAAATTGTCCGGCCAATAAGTTTAAGGCCAATATCATCAACAGGAAGAAAAAATATTGTGTAGTATCTTTTAAAGAATGAAAAGACAAGCATTCGCACCCATAATAAGATTGTATATTTTTAAGCTCCCTCACTTGGCAATATACATATGCTATTGCATTAATCATACTTATTTAACAATATTATAATCCTTGACCTTCGTGTGCAAAGCAAAATATGTGTATGATAAATTCTCCGTCTTAGTACTTACGGTTCTGATAAAAAGAATGTTTAAATTTTAAATATTCGTACTCACTATACGTAAACAACCTTTTGGTGAAAAGAGGCGGAAACAGAGGAAAGACTGTCATTATTGATGAAGGACCCCAAACGCTAAACAGTCACTAAAAATATTTGAATAAAAAATATTTTCGTATAAATAATTGGACAGGAAAAATGTTTTGCATAATCTGTGAACTTACAAGTAATTCAAGCACTTGAATATTTTCCTTATTTTCCTAGAATTCAAGAAAATTAAGAAATATACAAATGTCATCTTGGAAGAAAGTCAATCTACTTGCAGTTATAATTATACTTGTTTTTCAAACTCTTTCTACTTTAATTGCATAGATACAGACATGATATATTATACAGCTTTTCTATGTTTTCATGATGATGTACAGAGAGCAAATACTGTAGCCAATACACAAAACTTCCCCCTTTTGATGCTGTTGTCAAAGGTTTGCAAACTTCTTTTAATCATTAAGGATTGTAGTTATTAGAGTTTCTTGTCCCACCGGTAAAGGATGTTTATTACACAAGTCATAGCATTCTTGGTAATACTTACAATTGGAGGATATATCTGTTTCGGTAAGTTTATAGGATTTCTAACACCGCATTTAAGTAATGAACATGTTTTATAATTGTTTTTCTGGTTTGTTTCATTTTGTTTGTATCCTTCTCTTTTGGGTTTTGTCCCGTTTATTTTTCGAAAAATCACGTGCTTCAATTAATGTGATTTATGTAAAGAAGTTAGAGAGCATTAAATAATAAAATTGTATACGTATCGGTACCTACTATTTGTTCAATTATTATTTGATTGTTCGTTGTTTTATGTTCCTTGCGAGAAATTTTCACTCATATGAGACATCACCAAATACAGTTGAAGGGCTGCAAATTATGACTTATACTCGGCACTCAAGGTTATTAAGCAGTGAGGGTTCTTTATTGTGCCAGCGCCGACTGTGACACGGACCTACGTTATTAAGGTCATATCCGAAAGACCCGAAACTTTCATTTAGCAGGACGTGAAGTTCAGGACATATATGACACTATTGAACATACAGGCCAGAAATACGATGACATAATTAACGATTTAAATACCTACTTTGCACCTAGAAAAAAAAGTTACTTTTGAAAAACATATGTTTCGTCAAACGAAAGAGAATGAAAATGAAACTGTTACAAATTTCGTGACACGACTGGAAAAACTGGCATTATCTTGCGACTTTGGAGCAACAAAGGAGGACAATATCCGTGATCAGGTAAAGACAAATGCAAATCAACAGCATTAAGAAGAAGATTTCTGCGAGAAAAAGAACTCATCTTAGTGAAGGTATTGGAAATAACAAGAGCCCTAGAAATGTCACACAGTCAAGCAGAGAAAATGGAAGAAACCCCAATTATTCTGCAAGAGGTCAACAAAATTAACCAGCAGATGAAACCGAAGATCACAAATTTCGAAAAAATCAAAGTGAAACCGTACTTGAAAACAAAATGACAGAGGACATGATAGACAACTTATTAGACATAGAGGACCTGCAGAGCATCACCAATTCCCTAGAAATAATTAACGATGTTACAGATGCGGAAATATCAAGGTCATTTTGGGCGTGACTGTAGAATATCATGTGGAAAAAGTGCCATAAATGTGGAAATGAAGGTCATTTTGAAAAAAAAAATGCGCAACAATAATCGTCTTAATTCTAGACCTGTTCTTGAAAAAATTGCACAAGAATCCGCCTTCATTGTATTAAAAAATACGATACTGGAGCAAGTGTCAATATTTTAGACGGAATAACATTTCGAACTCTCTTTCTGGACAATTAAACTTTGAAACACCCAACATCGGACATTTTTGCATATGGATCAACAAAAATACTGAAACAACTTGTTCAGCTTACTGATTGAAACACAAAGGCCAAACTATTTGAACAAATTTCCATGTCATTCCAGGAAAAGTTGATCAACAAAACAACAGCTGAGCAATTAAAACTGATAAAATTGGAGCAGCAATTCAGAGATAACAAATGAAGCTTCCACAATAGTTCAGGAATAGCGACCTATTCGTTGGACTCAGAAAACTAAAGAAATTTCAACTGAAGTTGTATGTAGATAGCACAGTCCGGTCAGATGCAAAATCGTTACGACGTCTGCCATATCACATGCGAAACGCTGTTTGAAACAAAATTGACGAATTAGAAGATTTAGATGTGATTGAAAAGGTCGAGGGACCTACACCTGTGTTTCGCACCTCGTTTGCATACTAAAACCAAAACAAAGTGATCTGCGAATGTCTGTGGATATGCGTCAAGCAAATAATGTGATAACGCAGGAACGGTTTCCAATTCCAAACGTAGAAGAAACGCTGCAAGAAATAAGTGGATCAACGAGTTTCTCAAAACTAGATCTAAAATTGGGATTTCATCAAATTGAATTGGAACCAGATTCCAGAAACAAGTGTAACATTTTGTTTGTCACAAAGGTCTGTAAAGATACAAAAGGCTCATGTTTGGAATCTTGTGTGCGCCGGAAAATTACCAAGGAATAATACAGCAAGCATTGCAAGGGATTACTGGCTGTAAGAATATATCTGCAAAACAAAAGAGGATCATGACAAAGCACTTTGTGAAGTTTTCCAAAAACTTGGAGAAAGTAATTTGACCCTGAACATAGAAAAATGCAAATTTTACAAAACGGAGCTGAAATACATGAGGCACACACTGTCCAAAGAAGGCATCAAAGTAGATCAAAAGAAAGTCAAAGCAGTTCAGATCGCAAAACAGCCCACAAATGCACAAGAAGTCTGCAGTTTTCTTGGACTTGTCAATTACTGCGTAAGTACCTACATGTACTATGACTGAGCCGATCCGTAAGCTAACACGCAAGTCGACAAAATGGGAGTGGGGAAAGGTGTCAGGTCATTTCTCTCTAAAAATTTTTCTCTCCTAGGTTATTTCTATTACCATTTCACAGAAGGTACATGTAGGTCATTTCACTCTCCTACCTAGGTCATTTCGCTCAATTTTTATCTGGTCTAATAAAACTAATTACAACTCCATTCTTGAGTTATTAACTCTTATCAATTTAATTAATTCATAACACTTATAAAAACTGAACGAGAGGAAGTCTGTCGGTATCTTATTTACAGGAAAAAATAATTTAATTATTTCATAAAAGCAAATAATTGGTACAGCCTTTGCCACGTGGAGGCCTCCTCGTTAAGACTATAATTTTGAAGAAAAAAATTAAATCCAAAGTTAATAAATTTAATTATATTTAATTAGAATGACAAAAATTTACCTTAAAATAATATAATATAAATCGAACACGAAACAAACCAAACCAAAACAAAAAAATCTGGAAATTTTTTATCGATTTATTTCGTAACAGTGATACATGTAGGTACGAATAAAACATAAAACAGTTTCAAATTACATTCTGTCACTCTAAATCTTTCCACAAAAAGGGGGGAATTGATCTGACGTAAAATGAATATAATTGTTTAAAAGAAAGGATACTAATATGTTAAGAAACTAGAAATGTAAATATTTACAAGGTTTTTAAGTAATTTGTACATATTTAAAGCTAAAAAAAGATAAGAGATCAAAGAAAACAGAAACCTTAAAAAAATGCTATTAATGTTAGAAAAACCCTGAAATACAATATTTACATATTTACAATGTATACAATATGTACAAAGTAGCCAAATCTCACGAATCACAGTTAATTTTACAATGAAAAAAACCCAGATTATCTAGAAAGAAAACCCAAACAAACTAACAAACAAAAAACACCGGATTATCAGATTTCGAAAGAGGAATTTACTCAGTGTTACCATAGACATCTCCACAAATTCGCAGGAAGTGGCTTGTAGTGATTATTTCATAGTCATAGTCCGCCCAAGCTTGCCGAAATTTCTTCTCCACCCTTGAGCTGGTTGTTCTTGCATCACGAGAGAGGTCCTGCGCAGAAACATGGACGTGCACAATTTCAGTCTCCTTCGGCAGCAGAGGAATCAAGCGGTAATATCCGATGTTTCCGTGCCAAGCTTTGACATTGAAACGATTGTGCCATCTTAGGTATTTCTTTTTAAAATAAAAATCAAGTCAATAAAATTAAGGGGGGGGGGGGCAGGGAGGGAGGGGTTAAATATTTGAGGTAAACATGAAATAGTAATACCAATACATACCTTCGATATCGTTGTTGGTACGAATCTCCTGCTTGTAGATGGACCAGGCTTGAATAGGGAATACTGCGTTGCTAATCCACTGTCTCTCCAAGTAGTCTTTGAGGGACTTTAGAGAAGAAGATGGTTCAACCTTTTCTTGCATTGCCCGGAACGTGGCTTTGATGTCATTTAAAGGGAGAAATGGAAGGGCCATTAACTGTTTAATAAACCATTGAGTTGCCTTTTTCTCACGATAGGTGGCAGCTAGTCCAATGTCACATGTCTCCATAATGCATGTGTCCAATGGAAGACATATCCATGGATTGAAATACCGGCAAAGCCGCTAACGGAGGGAAATTGCTATTTAGTTTCACTTATAATCCTTAACATTTTTCTTTCATATACTAAGTACTATTTTTTTCATTTGTGTAATGAGAATAGGAAAATGAAAATTAATTTCAAAGTCCAGCATAATTTCCCCAACAGCTGGTTCATCAAGCCGTTCTAATATGGCCTGCAAAACCTGAAGGATCAGGAAAATAGAAGTTATGTCTCTGATTTTCAATAATATTTTACAGGAATAATTTTATGAGTCAATGAAGCATGCGCATTTTTGTCGGTTTATATTTGCCTCACCATCATATAGTCTTCCTTTTTTCTCCTTGACATTAGGGCAAACGGAAATTGTTTCTTTTGACCGCCCTGTTGCACACATCTGCTGGCCAGTCTTACGGAAAACTTTAGGTACAACCTAAGGATGTAATACACATTCGTGCATATTTGTTTAAACTAAAATCCAAATAACTTGAGGTGGACTATTGGTAATAAGATAAAAACCGCCTTAAGATTTGCAGATCTTTATTTCTCTTGGGTCAGACAGTATCAAGGACGTCCCAATTCCAACTCTCCGAATGTTAACAAAATTTTATAGTCATGAATGATAATTGACAAACTTGAGTAACATATGACATGAGTTATTTGATTTACAAATAGAGTTAAAGATTATATTTTTCGTTAAACAATAATTAAGTCACTCAAAGCACAGTCCATCTGGCCATATCACCCATGGCTACATGTAATTAACATAATTTAATAATTTATAATAGATAAATCTGACAAGTAACTCATTTTCATCTGTGACAATATATAGCACCGACAATGAGTTTGGTATCTGGGTATTTTGATTATATATATATATATATATATATATATATATATATATATATATATATATATATATATATATATATATATATATATATATATATATATATATATATATATACCGGTATATATATAATACTCAGATATAGTGTCCTTCAGCAGGGATAGTCGGAAAGGGGAACTGAATATTAAGTGCCTCTGTCCATCTGCATTGATATCGGCGACATCTAAAAAGAAGCATGATGGATGTGGCATGTGGATAGTGGTATATTTTCCGAGAAAAAGAAAACGTTAATAATCTATATACCTGGAAATTTAGATTCACTGGCTCCTCAGGACGGAACTTTCTTCTGAATCTATATATGGCATGTCAAATGTCAAACGTTGCAATATTCGATTTAATTTTTTTTCCATTTGTATTGTATAACTTTTATTTGTATTGTATAATTTTTGTTTGTATTCTATAATTTTCTATTTGTATCGTATAGTTTTTCACTTGTATTGTATAATTTTTATTTGTATTCTATAATTTTCCATTTGCATTGTATAATTTCTTATTTGTATTGTAAATTTTCTTATTTGTATGCGATAATTTTTCATTTGTATCGTATCCGCGGATTGTTTATTTGTTTTGTTACGAAGGCTTTCATTGGTCAAGTTTTAGCCTCTATCGGGTTGGAGATGTTTCGGGTGCTCAAAGCAAACTGGGCTCATATGTATTTGCGTGCATGTTACCCGGTCATTGGATTCTAAAAAGGGAGCGCTGGCAGATGGCAAATAAATGATCTGTTCTTAGAAATGTTGACTGAGAAAATAAATAAATTGATCTTGAGTGGTGGGATCTACCCCCAGACCAAAGAAACTGAGATTTCGGGTTTGGGCAGATTTTCTTCTTTTCCCTTTTCTCTGGTTATATTAGAAATAAATATTTTCTCCTGCTAGAGAATTAAAAAGAGAAATAAAATAAACAATCCGATTCGACAAAATCTAGCATCCACGCAATGAGAGGAGTCGAGTTTGTGTTTGCAGTCATTAAAGAGTGCGCGATCGGATTGTGGGAAGGGTACCAGACTAAGTTTGTGTTAGGCATTTGAAACATCTCGCTCGTTTTGAACATTTTATACAGACTAATGACCAATGAATTCCTTCGTAACGAAATAAATAAACAATCCTCGGATACATTTATCGCATACAAATAAGAAATTATACAATACAAATAAGAAATTATACAATACAAATAAGAAATTATACAATGCAAATGGAAAATATACAATACAAATAAAAAAAATATACAATATAAATGATTTTTTACGATACAACTGGAAAATATAGAAAACAAATAAATGTTATACAATCTAAATAGAAAATTATAAAATCCAAATTGAAAATTATAGAATACAAATAAAAATTATAGAATAGAAATGGAAAATTATAGAATACAAATAAAAAAATATACAATAGAAATAAAAATTATACAATACAAATGGAAAGTTATACAATATAAATGGAAAAGATCGAATATTGCAAAGTTTGACATGTCAAATCTTTTCGCCAATCTCTTTATCAAATGGAGATTTGGTGCAAGGAATCTAGTTTCTTCATTGAAATGTTCCATTACTATTCCCTCCACAACTGACATTGCTGAATGAAACACGCTCTGACTTGGGCGGAAATGACCTAGGCGGAGCAGGTACTAGGGAGTAATGACCCGGATAAACGAAAGATGACAGCAAAAAGGACAATAAACCAATTTGCAGACTACTGTTGAATTTAATAGTGAAAAAAAGATTAAAATAAAATATTTTATCTAAGCTATTCCATATTCCATAAGAAACAATGGGGAAACAATGAAGCAAAGGCGTTAATTAAACGCAAAGAGTTAATAATTTCATCAGAAGTCAGGGCGTAATACAAAGTGCAGAAAGAAGACTAATCGTAGATGGAAGTCCTTACGGGCTCGAAGCTATATTAGAACAGAAACAAGATGACGGAGAATTTCGCTCGGTGACTTACTCTTGTCGCACCCTTACTGATACGGAGCGAAAGTACTCTCAAACTGAACGAGAAGTGTTGTCAATTGTATGGACATGTCAACGATTTCAAACTTATTTATATGGAGTAGATTTTACCATCTTGACAGATTACAAACCCCTCACCTACATATTTACACCAACATACAAACGATCTGCCATAATATAACGATGGATCATGACACTACAGTCGTTTAAATTTATGGTGATCTATACTCCCGGAAGCCAAAACGCTGCTGATGTAATTTCACGCCAGGAAAATACAAACATTGATACTCCAAATCAAGAACAAACAAGCGCAGAAGATAATGTGATTTCATAATGTTCTAAGGGCAATGACTATAGGAAATCAAACGCGAATCCGAAAATGACCCTACGCTGCAACAAGTACGGAAACATAGCTTCGGGAAACTTGACTAGATCGGACAAAATTTTGCCATTTTACAATTTAACGATCAGCGTTATCAGTTTGAAGATCGATTACAATAAAACATACTCGAATAATCATCCCATAAACCCTACGAAAAAGAACATGAGAACTTGCACATGAGTCTCATCAAGGAGTCGTTAAAACAAAATCACTTTTACGAGAAAAAGTTTGCAGGCCAAAAACGGACGAAGGTTTTAAAACCGCCGTTTTGTTATGCATGTCAAATGGTTTGTAAAGCAAATCAACAAGCTCCCGTTAAAATGTCAGAACAATCCACTAGAGCTTGGAATAAATTGGACATGAATTTATGCGGGCCATTTCAAACCGTAGAACAGGTATTAGTAATTATTAATTACTATATCAGATACCCAGAAATCAAAATCATGAAATCTGTAACCTCAGAAACTATTATTTGACGACTAGTGAGAACTTTTGCAACTCATGGATTGTCTAAGACAACGGCAGACAATTCATTTGAGACGAATTTGAAAATTTCTTAGCGTGGAGAGGATTCAAACATCACAGAACGCTACCGTATTGGCCTCAAGCTAATGGAGAGGTTGTTAAGATTCAGTGCAACATTAAAGAAATCTGCACAGATCACAAAATTAGAGCGCATGGATTGGAGATTCGAAATATATAAATTTAACTTATGGTAGGTCCCTAGTACTGGACCTACTTGTGTTTTTTTCAAAAAATTGTGCCAAAATATTAGAATTGTTCATGCTAGGGTATGATGAGTAAGAAGAATAAAGGTGTTGTCAATACTATTACAGAGGGAGAGTTTCTCAAAAACAGGTACACCCATTAGTCAATTGGCAATATCATATTCCAATAAAGGTTTCACATAATAAGTCCATAAAATAGCTTTTTTTTATTATAATGATTTTTTTTTTTCAATTAAAATCAAATAAATACATCTAATTAAACAAATTAAAGTGAAATTTTATTGTTATTTTCATTTCCCTTGATTTTTTTTGACAAAATTGAACAAAATGCCACCTTCGCACAGTCAAAAACCTGGAAATACAACACTATTAAAATTATTGTAAAAAAAAATTTGACTTGTGAATTTTCAGTCAAATTTTCAAATTATGTTCATCTATGTTCATCTATGACTACTTGTTAAAATTGCATGAGGGTAGTGCTGTTAAGAATGACATTAATAGCCGAACAACTTATCGAAACATCAACCATGTGCGACCCTGTAAGGACACACGACAATGACAGTTTTATTTATCAAACATTTGAAGCTGTAACTTACTGACATGTATTTGAAATTAAGTGAGCCACCTCTATTCCCCGATTCCCAGGCTCTGGAGACTTTCAAATATAAAAAAAATTGGTACAACATGTACAAGGAGACACTTTCTGACATCCAATGTAATAAGACTGATTTGTGCTTTTTAGATTAAATATATAAAATGTATTGAGGGTTGTATCTAAGGTATTACTCCCTTTAAAGTTGGGATTCTAGGTCTTAAAGCCATATTTTCTCCAAAATCATCAAAAAGTAATAAACTGATTATTTGAAAAGTAACTTATCACTTAAGACATACTTAACAAAAATCATTCTAGTATCTTCAAGCGTGAAGAATACAGGGATGGAAAGACAGACAGACGGAAAGACGGAGAAGACATTTATAATTTCCCCGGTATCATATG